ACAATATTTTAGATTCCAAAGACATGCAGAATCCAGAGCCATTTTGCATACCTCATGGCACCGTTCCTTGAGATAGTGTCGACAATACTTTATAGGCTTTGGTTTTGGAGCTACTGGTTTCAGTTTCAGCTTTTTCACGCCAAGGGCTATACGCTCTTTAGCTCTTTTCTTCCTAGCTTTTGCCTGCATGAAATAGCTTATCAATAAGTAAAAATTGATTGCAAGATATCCCCATGATATGTCAAAGAAATGCATAGACTACATTACCCTCTTTCTGGCTTTTGCGTCCTTAGAAGGCGCAGACCTTTTTTTAATGGAGGTTCCAGGATCCATCTGCAGATAAGAAGTTAAAATACAAGTCAGATTTTATCAGCACCCAAGCAACATAACATTCCATTCTTTTATCTACATTCAATACCTCAACACCAAGCTCTTTTCCAAAACTCTCATGACTTGTGAGATGGCTGTTACCAATCCCATCTCGTGAGACCTGACACTCCTCATGTCTTTCGACTGGTTCATCATCTTCTACAAGCATATCATCATTATCATCCCCAGATATCTCTCCTTCTTCTACATCATCATCTTCAACTATCCGAGACACGGAATCTACCAAAACCGGAGTACTATCAACAGGTTTCTCCAATTCCATCTCTCTTTGAACTGTTTCATCACAAGCTTCCAAAAATCCAGAACTTTTAACTTCATTAGATTCAGCAGATTTAGGAACCTCCTCTACCTTTTTATCACTTTCAGTTGAAATATTAGGCTTCTCCACGACATTTTGAACAAAATCAAGCGGTTGTTTCGCGATATTATCTAGTGAAGCAACCATACCATCACCATCATAGTCATTCACATCCAATGCCTCAAAGAGATTCACACAACTTTCTGGAACAAAGTCTGGATTTTCATTTATCATAAGCTCAAAGCTATCGAAAAAATCTGTGTGTCTAATACCAACAGATGCATCTTGCAAGTCAATTCCATCAAAAACATCTCCAAGCATCAAACTCTTTTCCTGCGAATTCTCACCTCTTAAATCAACAGACACTCCATTGGATTTTGATTCTACCATTGATAGATTCTCCGGTGGTTTGCAAGTTTCTCCCGGAGACACTGGAGCAATTTCTTTATCAGAAACACACAAAATAGCATCAGAAATAGGATCATACTATTCAAACACAGAACATTCCTGAGAAATTTTAATTCGAATTGAACACTGACCTGTTCTTAAGACCAGCTCGTGAAGAACGGCCGGTGTAGCAAGCGAAACTCGAGGCTCCCGATCGAAACTCGAGCAGAGGTGATGAAGCAAAGAACGATAAGTCCGATTCGAGAGATGCGTGCGTCGGTGAGGAAACGGAGCGACGGAAGATTCCATTGTCTCCGCCGGAGAATAATCTCAAACAGTACCGATTTGCTCAACTTCTTCTTGTCGTTCGCCGGGAAAAGGCCGTCTTGTGGCGGTGGACGATTTAAAAATCTTCATTGGGCTTGATGTTAATGGGCTTCGTGATTTTTGAAGCCCAATATCTCTGTGTCTTTTAGTGAATCCTTCAATAAACGGCGTCGTATTCAGAACCCAAACCCTAAAAGATTTATCGATTCAGAGTTTTCGAAATCAACAAAATTGAAATCTCTCACTCTCTATCTCTCTTGGTGATCATTTCGTTTTTTTCCGGTAGAAAGGGAGGAGAAACATGGTTGTGCGGATCAGATTATCGAGATTTGGATGCAAAAATCGGCCATTTTTTAGGGTTATGGCCGCTGATAGCAGATCTCCAAGAGACGGGAAGCATCTTGAGGTCTTAGGTTACTTCAATCCTTTGCCAGGTGATTAACAAAACAAAATGTATCCTTTGTTTTTGTTTATAGAATTTTCGATTACTCTCTTCGTTGTTTTTTTTTTTTTTTAACACCATCTCTTGGTTTATGTGTTCAGGCCAGGACGGTGGTAAGAGGATGGGTCTCAAGTTCGATCGAATTAAGTATGTTTTTTCTCATCTAATTCTCCACTTTCTTATGCTTTTCCGATAAAATCAAGTAGCTTTTGGGTTGAATTTACTCAGAAAGAGGTCTCTGAATGGTGAATGCTTCACTAGATGATTTAGGCTACTTTTGGGTTTTCTGCATTTGAAGTGTTTTGGTTAATTGCTAAAGTTAGCTCTAGATATCAGTCAGCGTTTTAGCTGCCTCTAGTAATCTTAATGCACTGTTATGTAGTCAACATTGTGTTATAGTTAACTGTCTTTTGATCTGATACAAAGGAGATGAGTTCAGTCTTGAATGGTTTTTATTATCTAAAGGTGAATGAATGTACATGTTTCCCATGGTTGGTTTTGATCACTTTCTTTCTCTTCGTGCTATTCAACCATTAGTTGAAGCAATTTTCTACCTCATTGAATCCCATTTAAGAAAGGAAAAAATGAAATATTTGTGGAAATTCATCTACAAGTTTTAGTATATAACAAATGAAACTACTCAACCACTCTTGAGTCTTTGTATGGAACTTCTGCTCTGAGTTCTGGAATTGCTTCCTATTACTGTAAGATGAAGAACCTGTTGATTTTCTATTCGTATACACACTTACTTATATTCCTAATTATACAACCTCTTTTGCGTAATTCTATGGTCATGTAGTATTAGAATCGTCTAAAATTATGTTTATGACGTCTGGATAGTAGCAGAACACATGCCAAGATTACTTAGAACCTGGTCATACAATCGAAGTTTTTGTTCTGAATGACTAGTTTCAATAGAGGATGCATATAGATTTGATTAATGGACATTTTGTTTGCCTTTCTTGATCTGTACAGGTACTGGTTATCTGTTGGTGCTCAGCCATCAGACCCGGTTCAACGCCTCCTATTCAGATCCGGTTTACTTCCTCCTCCTCCAATGGTGGCTATGGGACGTAAAGGTGGAGCACGAGACACACGCCCTGTTGATCCAATGACTGGTCGCTACGTAGATGCAGAGAATAAAACAGTTAATGCCAGTGATAACCAGCCTAAGGAAGAGGATACAGAAGACAAGAGTGCATAATTCATTAGCCTTTTGTCGTCGTAGCTTTTAAGCTCACTTTGTTACCGATCATATCTTGTGTAATACACTATCG